TTGCATGCATAAAATAAGATTAGAGGAAGATTATAGACCATCTGTGCAAAACCAATGACGCTTGAACCTTGTTATGCAAGAAGTTGTTAAGAAGGAAGTGCTTAAATGGTTAGATGCCGGGATTATTTTTGCGATTTCTGATAGTGAGTGGGTGAGCCCGGTGCAAGTGGTGCCGAAAAAGGTAGGAGTGACAGTAGTGAAAGATGAGAAAGAGGAATTGATTGCGACTAGGATTGTAACGGGTTGGCGAATTTGTATAGATTATAGGAAATTGAATGCCGCAACTAAGATCACTTTCTCCTCCCCTTTATTGATCAAATGTTGGATCGTTTGGCAAGAATGGACTATTATTGCTTTATTGATGGTTATTCGGGGTACAATGAAATTATGATAGCCCCGGAAGACCAAGAGAAAACCACTTTTACATGTCCTTACGGTACTTTTGCTTTTCGTAGAATGCAATTTGGTTTGTGTAATGCTCCTGCTACTTTCCAACGATGTATGATGGCAATTTTTCATGGGCCTATTGAAAATATTATGGAGGTTTTTATGGATGATTTCTCTGTTTTTGGTGATTCTTTTGATTCTTGTCTGCATAATCTTACTCTAGTCTTGCAGAGATGTGAAGAGACTAATTTGGTTCTTAACTGGGAGAAGTGCCATTTTTTATGGTACGAGATGGTATTGTTCTAGGCCACAAAGTCTCATCTGAAGGATTGGAGGTAGATCGGGCTAAGATTTTGGCTATTGAGAAGCTTCCACCTCCTGCGAATGAAAAGGCTATTCGGAGTTTTCTTGGGCATGCCGGTTTCTATAAACCGTTTATTCGTGACTTTTCTAAAATTTCGAAGCCTTTGAGTCAATTACTAGAAAAAGATATTGCTTTTAATTTTTCTGCTGAGTGCTTGCAGGCATTCGAGACGTTGAAGAAAACATTGGTGAGTTCTCCAATTTTGGTGGTCCCGGATTGGTCTCAACCATTTGAGATCATGTGTGATGCGAGCGATTTCGCTGTTGGAGC